TTAATTATAGTAAAAATTAATATGGCTTTCGAAAAATATTGTCCGTCTTTAAATATGTCTTTACGTTGGAACACTGCGCCGATCTCACGCGTCGTGCGGGAGCTACAACGATCAACTAAAATGCGAGGGAAGCGTTCGGTTGTGCGAGGCCTAACTTTAACATCGGTTCTCGTCGATCCCGTTCCCCCTCACGTTTCTCAACCATTTCTGGCTAGGCAAGGGAGGAGACGGGATATGCTGCAGGTAACCACGGTCATTGCAACCAACCTGTTACACGTTTTTCGTTTAAAATCGCTTACCGAGATCTAAGAGTACGTTTATATTTCCGATTCGAAAGAACAATAGAATATCATCGCGAAAAAATTATTTTCAACGATAAGACAAGAACTGAACATGTATCTGTTAATTACAATTTGAAGAAATGAGAATATATATTTTCGTTCAAATATGCCCAAATATATATGAAATATAAAGTTTTATCGTAAAATAATTAGATAAAAAGATGAATTAAAATTAGATATAAGTTATATCAATATCCTCAATGGAAAATTCAAAAGATCAAAATTGATTTATCGATAAAATTTGTTTGAAAACAAAACCACCCAATGTAATGTGTTTTTAATCTAATACCTCTTTTATACAGTGTATATCTATAGATCTAAAGAAAATGTCAATCCATGCAAGTAAGTACTTGTATCTATGTACATATGCGTTACGAAGGAAATGGAAAACATGGAAAGATCCTTTTGAACGATTAATTGCTTCGATTTCTAAAAATCTATTTTTACAACGATTAATTCCAATTTATCGTTAACAATATCGTGAAATTACAGTTTATAATCGTAGAATGAATGATTGCTTGTCGTGTTAAAATATTGATCAATATTGGACATTCTTCGATGGTAAGATTCTATGAAAAATTTAATATTAAGTCTTCTGCATTTCTCAATATTTTTATTTTTTAATATATTTGTTATTCTTGATCGTAATTTTCAAATTATTTAAATTTATAATTTTCAATATTCTCTCTCTTTTTTCGGAATATTGCCAGATATATATCTTTATATCTTTTTTTTTTTTTTGTTTCATTGCATATAGTGTTTAACACCGATTAAATAGACATTTAAGAAAATTTTATATGATTTTATAGTTCTCTAGATAACAATCATTGTACGATATGAAATTGTGGCAATTTTATTTTAACAATGACATATTAATCAGAAGAAACAAGTCGATAATATTAATAAATGTAACGCGAAATGTAACGAAATGTAGAAATAAATGATAATCCACTTTTTTAAATGATTTTTTAATGCTTTAATTATTTTTGCATATTGGAATTAAAATCAATTAAATAATAAGTATAAATGTTTATAAGTTATAAACAATGAAATTAGCATTTAAGTTAGCATTTAAATAATATCTATATAAAATGAAAAGAGAGAATAAAATTACTTATATTAAATATCTACATTTGAAATTATTAAAATCGTAACGTATGATTGTCCCCTTCCGAGAATAGAAACTCGTAGCGTTAAATTAATCGTAACAAAAGTTTAATGACCCGCAAAGTTGAAAAATTCGTCTTAAGTAGGATGCGAGTTAATGTAATAACTCTCGAATTGCCACTGTTTAAATGTCCTCGTAATCACCGTCAAATTGTTGTTTAGTGCAAATTGAGAGACGTTGTCCGTTCCTCTAACGTTTGTTGGAAAATAGAAAAAAAAATATAGCGGCCCCGTTTTCTTTTAAAAACAGTACGTTGAACTTTATACGTTACTGTTTTCTTGTTATAATCCAGCGATATATATTGAATATAATAACGATAATATCGAAAAATCATTTTTAATTAAGATATTAAACGATTGTTAAAATACGCATATGGTACACATACGGAAAACTTATTCATCGCATTATCATCAAAGAAGAAAATGAATTGAAATCGATCAACGATATCAACCATTCATCGTTTATAATTATTGTAATTTCGAAAAATTGCGTAATAAATTGGCAACAAATATCAATATCTTTATTCTTTAACAAATATATCCTTATATATAACAATTGGCAATTTGGGATGAACTTTTTCATTTTCATTTTATAACGTTCATATTGATTCATTTTGATTAATCTTTATTCAGAAACGTTTCAAGTCCTCCATTTAATAGTCTCGTTAACCCAATTTAATAATTTAACAAGGAGATACGAAGATATAAGAAGATACGAAGGAATCAAAATGAAGAAAGAATTCGCAAAGACACTGTGCTCATTTTACGCTATTAAAAAAAAAATAATAAATAAAATTACAGAAATAAATTTCGTTTAATTTTGTCTATAAATGCGTGACGATTGTTTGCAACATGCGTTTTGACGCATGCTCTCCATCTTGAAACAAACAAGAAACTTAACGAAACTTATCTTGAAACAAACTATTTAACGTATATAACTATGTAAATACTTGTATGTATATATCTAGATAGATAAATAATAACTAAAATGAAACAATATGCGCGTAGTAAAATCTGATTGATCGTTCATTGAAATTTTCATGGATTTCTGATTTATGTAAAAAAAGTTACTAGTTGGTATAACTTTACCATAATAATATGTAATTTTTCCGTTTAATGATTCTACTTTTACAATTATCAGTATTTACAGCAACGTACTGTATTAAACTTATAATATAAAAGTATTGATATAATTAATGTAAAATTAATGCGATGTGTAAAAATATCATGACTGAAAAGTTAAACTAAAAAATTTAATTAGTCATTCTTTTTTTTTAAATTCATATATAATATTGTAAAATTTTATATCACGATTATAATTAATATAATTAATTATATACGATATAATTAAACGGAAATCTTTTATTCTTTATTTAATTATTAATTTTATTTTTATTTTTAATCTTTGAGTTTATTCGTTTGTGAGTTCGTTTAGGAGTTGATTCTCGAATTTGTATACGAAAACGAATGTGATACGTACCGTACTTATGTTAGATACTTACTTACATGCTTAGACATAAATCGAGAATGAAAGTGTCGAAATACAAGAATACGAAGGCACGGTTCCACTAGCCCACTTTTATCGACCCCAATTTCTCTCATTCTACATCCACGACCGAGTTAAGAGTTTAGTTTTCACTTTCGCTATTGGATGCCGTTGTCCTGACCTGATCTAATCGAGATTTCTATTAACTCAACTTATAAATCTCCCCTCTCTCTCTCTC